CAACCGCCCAAAATGAGGTTTTCATCCATGTAACAAAGCTGCACAGATCAGTCACGGATCCCGAAGTTCAGGGCGGGCGATCCATCGCCGCGGTCCGAACGGCGGCGTCCCTGCGGCGCCTGCTCTTTTTAAGCCTCCGTAGCGTCCAGGCACGCGGGAACCCACTCACGTGGTGACAGCTGCAGCCCGCGCAGAAAGTGGCCGGCGCATATCCCCGGCGCCACCCAGACGACCGGACCCGGCCTTGGCCGTGCGATTGGGGCTGTGCGTGCATGCGCCCGGCGGAGGCGGGAGGTGCGGCCGGAGGCGGGGGCGTCGCCTTCGACGGCGGGCTAAACACTGGCACAGAAATAGCTTGCCCTGACAGGCAGACGATTGTTCTTAACTGGAGCGACATCGGGGCAGTGTTCGCCGGATGTGTATCCTAGAGCACGGGGACCGGGTGCCTTCGTCACGCGAGTCGTATTCGATAGACGTCAGGCGCCCACTGCACAGGCGGTGGAACGTTACCACCCAATTGGATGAGCGCACAGCGCCAGACCAGACCAAACGCAGTGAAGACTGGTGACAGGACAGAAGAGGACAGGACAGGAGAGGACAGAACAGGACAGAACAGGAGAGGACAGGACAGAAGAGGACAGGACAGGACCGTGTGCATGTGACGGAGATCGGTCAGCGGTCCGGTTTCAGTGACTGTCGTTGGTACCTGCCACAGTGGGGCCCTGGATGACTTGAGAGCGTTGGCTCGTCTTTATGACGGTCGTATATTGGAGCGCCATGCAGACAAGGCGCGGCTTCCGACTTCGCGGAACGTCCTTGACCCCGACGTCTCCTCCTCTGGATAGCCATAGGTCAGCACACCCCGCTGCCGTCTCTGTGTTCCGTACCCGTCACGGTAGCCACATCGTCCGGTACAGGCGAATATATACATATATATATATATATAGATATATATTGATATATAAATATATATATATATATATATATATATGCGTATATATGTATATATATCTCTCCATTTTTCTTCTCTCTCTCTCTCTCTCTCTCTCTCTCTCTCTCTCTCTCTCTATATATATATATATATATATATATATATATATATATATATATATATATATATATATATACATATATACCACACTGGCGAGCCCACAAGTTACCGCCCCGCCGCAGGTCTCCACGTCGCCCACTCGTCTAACCGCAGAGCCTCCGCCCCCGCTCCATGTGCCGGTGCCAGTGACCACGCGGGGTGTGCGGGTACCTCCCGGGCCCGCAGAACATTCGCCTGCCGCACACGGGTATAACCTTCGCTCTCGTGAAGCTCTCCGAACGCTTGTCAGGCAGGCAGGATTTTTGGGTCATGTCCGCGCCTTGTTCGCCATGTCGATATGTTTGTGCGGACCATGTATGCTTACGTATGCGTCACTACTCGCATCAGGCGTGGAGGGGTGTAGTGTGCACTTGGCCAATTTGATGTTAAATATGTCTCTACAAACTGTACAAACAGGCCAACTTGCTTGCCCTAACGAAGATTGGAGGCTTTTGTTCCTTATGCTTCATTGTTTTCACCACATCTCTGCCGCGACGGCTCACCATGCACCGACAAGGGGACACGAAAAGATCATATGTAAACCGATCATGCCACAGGTCACAGAAAATGCTGACAATCTAGCAGATATATTTTACCGTAATTTTGCAGGCAATGAACTGAATAGATGGTACCTTAAATTATCGTATGTGATAATTCGCCAGCGCTTTCCATTTCGTAGTGGTCTAGTGGACAGTTTCTAAGCCGATGTAACTCAGAGGCTTCCTCAACATTTCATCTGGGTTCCGCAGAGATGTTGGGGACCCCGCGAAAGTAGATTGTAGATCGAAATGGGCCAACAATTTATATTCACTTGAAGCCATGCTTATCTGGATAGTTCAACATCTGGTCAGAATCAGTTAGTAAAACAAATCATGCGACGTGACTTCGAACATGCGCACCCGCAATTCCCAACAAAAACCTCGACGCCAAGCGTTGCAGTCTCCGCAGGCCGCGCCGCATCGGCTCCACGGTCAGTACTAAGCTGCAGCTAATGGGTTGACAAAAATGAAAAAGACGCATGTGAAAGAAGGATCTCTGAACGCTGTAGGACATCAAATCGCACATTTAGTAGGTGGTCTTAATATTCGATTTAGTATGGTAAATGTGTTGTGATGCGTTTAGTATTATACAGTAGAGAGAGAGAGAG